ATATTTATTATTATTTATATAAATAAATATTTTTAATGGCTAAAGTATTATTAATGATTTAAAAATTAAAATTATAAAACATTTAGTTAAAATAAAGCAGTGTATGAAAAATAAAAATTCTGAAAAAATTTTACTGATGTATGGGTAACCTTAAGGGTATTCACGATCATGAGCAACGAAATTTGTAATCAAGTAACTTAGAGACATTAAAGAGTACATGTACTCAAACAGTTATGTTACTCGGTTACTTAAATTGTAAAAAGGTCGAAAATTACTAATATAAAAAACTACGAATTCAGATAAGGGAGTGTGGTTACTATTGCTTAAAAATTTATGATAAAAAATTTGTAAAACAAGCAAAAGTGAAAGATTTTAGTAAAGTCTATTTCTTTTACTATGATATATGTATATACTATGTATTTGCCACTATATATAAATAGTATAAAAAATTTAACAATCATTACATAAACAACTGGTAACAATGAATGAAGACGAATGCTAAATTATTATTGTTGGTTGTTTTCCATGTAATATTGGCCAATATTAAAATCTAACATCTTAAAAATTAAACTATATTGACATATAGAATAAACGGGGTACTGACTCCTAACGGAGCGGTACACTGCGACTGATTGATCTATTTCAACATATAGCGTAATGGATAAAGTAGAAATTATTTGAGCTGTAACCCACTAACCACTTTAGCCACTCTAACCCAACCTAACCTATGGAACACATATATGTAACATTTCATTTTATATTCCAAAACAAAAATAGTAATGATATCCTGAAATACTGTGAAATTATATAGTATAATATAGAATTACTATCTCATTATAATATAAAATTAAATAAATTATTTATAAACTCAGTGGTATGATTCTTTCTATTTTTAATTGTCGGTTAATTATTGAAGCGATCAACGGGAAATTATATCACCCATTATAAAAAACATGAAAAAAAATTTTGGTTAACTATTTTTTTACTCACATATAATCGAAAATAATGTGAATAGTTTCCATATAGATCCATATATTTATATGGATCTAGAAACTATTAAGAAATGTGTTTGTAATTACATGTCATTACGAAGAGTTTATTTTCTGTTTCCTTGCCCTACTCATCAAGTTTTCTTTTTCAGTGTTTTTCGCCATCTATATATTATTCCAACGTTTATTTATTTAGGTGTGTTACGGTTTTCAATCGATAATCTGTTTGGATTTGTTCTATAACAAAATCCTATAATCCTATTAACAGTATCCCTCGGTATCACATACTACTACCTGTATCTATTATTTAAAACAAAATTTCTATTTTTCTATCCGATCTTAGCCATAGAATAATTTGGGAGTTTAAAGACATAAATTAAACAAAAATTTCGTTAGTAACCTATATTAACTATAAAACTATATTTTCATCGAAGCTGTTTTAATGATGGCTGTAAGCCATACTTTTATCTTTGAAAAATGAAATATATTGATTATGATATCAATTTGGAACATAAGTTTTATGGACGAAATATTAAATTTCAAAAGACTATATTCGTAAGTCTTTATTCATTTATCATACAAATATCAAATTTCCTGGAAAAATGAAGTAGAAATTTAATAGCACAACTAAGAGTACTTGGACTTGATGTTTCTATAGTCGCTCGTGTCATTGGTTTTGTAAACGGCCAAATTAAAATGTGAGTAGTAAATGGTACCTAAACAAGAATTGTTGTTCCTGTAACCTGCGAGGGCCTATAAATTTAGATATATGCAAGGATTACAAGACAAACACATATGGGTTAGGATGGAGTATGTGGAAAGCGAAGAGAGGTGAATCGGTGATTGTGTGGGATTAGGAAGGTGTGAGATACTCAAGCTAGCATTGTAGTCAAATGGCATATAAATACAAGGGACCAGGGTCTTTGTATAAAATTTCATGCAATTAGTTCGCTCAATATAGTTCGATAGATAGTGAAATACGGCTTTGTATACTGATCTCTTTCAAATATTCGACAATATACATATATTTTTTGTTCTCATCTATAGTGGTGGTATCACAATACGCCATTTCAATTTCTCTGTATAGTCGTACTAACGTAACCTAATCTCTGATTTATCTACATTACCTTCGAAGCTTTACTAATAGCTTGATTAATTCATAATATACATATATATTAATATTGCTAAAAGAGTTAGCTTTTTAATAATTATTATTAAATTATTATATGTAGAAACAAATTTTGGAATTGACTATAACATATATTGAATATATTCACACTGCGTGTATTAAAAAAAAAAAATTGCTATCTGAAATCAACGATAAGATTTACTTTCACTTTAAAACTGAACTGCAAATCTTAACGCAATAAAATTAAATGATATGTTTATTTCTATTGTTTTTACAGTTTCGCATTGTTTCTGAGATATTTTACATAACAAAACACTTTACTTAATAAGTAAGATTAAGTCAAGTTAGTCTTATTAAAAATACACTGCCAATATATCTTTGCAAATTATTATTATCGTTATAAAATAATATATAGAATAGCTTCATCCTATCCTAAAAATGGTCAAGAATTTTACTCAAAACTGCAAAATAATTTTTTATTTTTGTCATTTTTATATAAATAATCACTTGTTATTAAAAAGATAAATCAAGTATAAAGAATTATTCATTAAAAAGTAGTTGAATCTGTACTGTGTTTAATCACATGCGAAATTTTGCATCCAGTATCATTATTGGACGTATTAACGTATTAACAGCGATAAAAATTGTTGTGAAATTGATTAATCAATTTTTCCATTTGTGTTGACGTCCAGACCTCCAGTCGCCCAATTGTTAGACTGGAGTTCCATCACCCTCGTGGGCCCATATCCACCTGAGTGGTCATAAACAAATGCCATCAGTATATCACCTCTAGCAATTCCCGGACAACAGTGATAGTTGATCACTGGAAATATTTTTCAACAGCAAAAAATAAAATAAATAGAGAATTGTGATGAAATCCGTATTGAAAATGACTAAAAATATACCTTTTCGAATATTATTTTATTATTTATTGTTTCAATCAATTTTTTATTGTTTCTTATACAATTTTTTTTAGTGTTTATTTATACTTGACTCTGTCTTCGATCGTAACAACTTGTTAATTACTACATGCAAACAAATGAATCATATAATTTACTAGTTCTTTTCAATGAACTACCTTAAGGAAAGTTTACCAGTTGTGCATATAAATTATAATAAAAACAAAAACAGACCAAGACAGACCACTTATTTTCACATCCGTTGTTTCTACTTTATGACCTCGCTTCAAAAGGTCAAAATTTCCGAGTTAGACTTGAACCCACTAAACCAGCTCTATGAAATGAAAGGAGAAGATTTCCATAGCAATGTGGAAACTTCATTCCAGTAGACGAAGGAGAGAGAAGAGAGTGAAAAGACCTAGCAAGCTAGGTTCTTCTAAGTCAAAAATCATGGGCATAAAATAAGGAAAATGGGAAGTAGTGAAGGGGGTGGGGTAATGGCAAAAGCGCGAAGGTACTAAAGGTAGACTCTGTGACCAAGGTCACGAGAGCCACAGTTATATAAGGGGATGACGGAGTGATCTGAGTCCCACTCATCAAGATAATGAGAGACTCCCTATTCCTTATGTTACTTAACTTCTTCATATAATCATCTTTTCTTTTTTTTATATATCTCATACCATCCTTTTATGTACTTGTTTTCTAGAATCCCATGGGCTACTACAACAATAACTTAAAAGCTGCTAGGATTTTTATAAAAACTAAAATTATTAATACAGTTGAAACTTGTATATTACATATGTTATCTTCAAAATAATATCCCTTGTATATTCTTAGTATTTCATAATCTGATTTTGGAATGGTATTCATAAAAAGATTTACCAAATTTTTTATAATTGATTGTATTTCTACGAATTCAATTGTTCTCTAGAAATTTTAATTAAATCACAGGAAAACAAACAATATTGTTAATTAAAGTCTATCTTTGTAAAAGGAATTTCCAGTAAGTAGTGTCAGATTTATGCCCTAGAAGAGCCACTCGCCAACCATTATCAAGGGTCAATTACTGAGTATTGATGTTATTGGTAAGAACTACTCCAAAAATAGCGAAAATTTGCTACAATAACAAATTCAGAATAATAAGACTATAAAAACCATATGGTACTTACATCACAAATTACGTACATCAAAACAATAATTGCGCCTATGAATTTTTATTATTATTACAATGGAGCCTTTTATTCCGAAAAGTTAACTATGCGGAATTTGTCACGATGAGGTGATATCTATTAATCATTTTTAATTTCTGCTTTAAAATGTTTGGGCGTTATGGTCCTCAAACAGTTTAGGCTACTCGAATATATTATAAATTCTTGAACAGCTCGAATGGAAGAGTGTCCAATCCCCTCCTACTTTCACACTTCCTTTACCTAACCTATGTAAACGACGTTAGTAATTTTTTTTATGTTATCTTTTATATAATAATAATAACAGCTCGAATATTATTTGAAACGCTACTTTTTATGAATCTGTCCAAAAATTAAGATGAAATAACTTTATTAAATACAATAAATTACGTTTTTCCGATTGGTTACTCTGAGTTTCAAATTTGGGAAGGAACAAATTCAATCCCTAGTACTTCCATTCTCAAAAAAATTATTTATGAATAATTAAATATAGGAAACAATTTCAAGACCACTGATGAATACAGTTGTATGGTCAGTCAAAAATTCAATTAATTAAAAATAAGTAAAAAAATTTTGTTGTTACAATTTACTACTGTTTGAAATCTTTCTATCAAATACAATAGTTTTAACTAAGTAAAATAGTCACTGCTATCTTAACTGACGTTAAAATCAAATTTAAAATAATTTTTATAATAAAAAAAATATTGTTTCTTCGAAATTATTTAATGGAACACATATTTGAGAACAGTTTTTTACGACCATTAAGAAATCGGTTTTTACGAAGACTTTTAAATTTTATCATGATATCTGATATAGATATCTTAGGTGGCTATTAAATTTAAAGTCTCTTGATATATTAACTATTCAAAATTTTTACAAATGTCAAACTAAAATTACCAGAACCCTGTCTTTATAAATATGAAGTATATGGATTTGAAAAAGAATTAATGTATGAAAGTAATTAGCTGTATACAATTATACAATTATATATATATATTTATATATAAAATATTTATATTTATATACAATTATTTAAGTTTATATAATTGTATCTAAACGTGTGTTTGCGAATATAAATTTAGATAATTCCAATATGATATATAGTCATCTGTTTATTGTTGGTGGATAGTAAAAATACTTTTCTTTTAAGTTGGGAAGATAGATAGTTCCATGACTCACAGTCAACAATTGAATATAACCGGTGTAAAATTCGGTAACTTTACGGACGTGATTTCAATATAGATATTTATGACGTGTATAAATTTTTTTAATATTATAATACATATTTGATGTTTTTAGATATCATAAATTATGCGTATGTTTATATAAATCTATAAATATTTTTTTTTAAATATTAATTGAAAATTTCCTAATTGATACTAATTATTCCAACTCTTTCTCTTCACTTATCATTTAAGGTGGCCGTTAATAGCAGCGTAGCAACGGAAAGCAATACTAA